TCCCAACATTCACGAAGAAAGTTATATCCGTTCACAGTCGTGCTCCGATCTTGGCCAGAAGCTTGTTGATCTCACTTATCACTTGAGTGATCATTCCGTAGGCGCCAAGACTGCGAAATTTCGCATCAAACGCGCTCCTGCTCGATGGAAGAATTTCTCTGTAATATCATTCAATTATAAAAAACACTCAAAATTTGACCTCAACATCGGTTATCTCAAAACGAAGAAAAAACGGATGTGGACTGGATTTGTATCGCCCACATGCCAAAACAGATCGGATATTTGGCAATTTTTGAAGAAGCAACATGAGGCTTCAACAAAGCTTTGAACGAGCTTTGTTTTACAGAAAAGTGGGTTACCTCAGTTCTTTTCTTATCTTATCGGGCTTCAGCGGTTTCAATTTCGGTCAATAATGTTTGCGTTAAGCTGAGATATTCCGTTCTGAAAGTATGGGTCAAAAACCGACACCAATTCCCGAACAACCTAATGGATTACAGTATTCTACACAATACCATTGAAGAAGGCTCAAGGGGAACCAACCGTTGTTTGGGTAAGGCTTCTGGTACGGTAAGATGGCACTGTCAAGGCATCTACGCATTCCGCGCAGATTTGAATATGGAATTTGGATGCTACATGCTCTGAGCGGTAAGACCCATCAACACCATCTTTATTTTGATTCCTTGTCGTTCTTTTGGCTATCTGCTCATTACACCCGCTGGAGGGGAGAGATGAGTGCTACCTGTTGGCCAGTCTCGCAAGCGCCACTGTTAGCCTACAGGGTCAAAAGTTTGAACTGTTGAAGGCGAATCTCAAAACAGAGGTTTTTCCAGCGTTGTCCGCAATCGTAATGTGCGCCGTACTCTTTTTGACCACCCTTGACTCCAGAACTGCGGAGCAAACTCATAAGAATCTGAGGCAGAATATATCCAGCACCTACTGCTGAGGTCACACCTTGTAAATGATGGTGTGCAGTGTTGTGAAGAATAAACAAGTCAAGGAAATAGGGAGCATAATTCAAGCACAAAAAATAACCAAAGTGTTCCTGAAACCATAGACTATCCACCTTGCTTGTTTGCTGTCAAAGGATCAAAATGATACCTAAGATTTGATAACCCTTGAACGAAAGTGAGTCCACGGCTGAAACTGATTGCATCCAGTAGTTGTGGTCTCGCCAACACATACCGTACTCTATCGCTTAGTTGGAGGATTTGTGGCTCTGCAAGGGAATACTGTAAGTGAACGCATGTGAATAATAGAAATGAAGCCTAACCAAGCGATGCGATGTCGGCCTCGTTAATTGGGGCGTTCCGTAGATTTTCAATGCCCAACTGCAGTCTGTCGATACTTGATTTGAAGAAGTAATATTTGTTCTGAAATGGGAGGCTATTTGCTATAACCTACCAGAAAGGTCTTTCAGGTGTGCCCCGCTTTTTGAATACGGTTCTCTCCGTGGAGTGGGCGAGGGTGCATACGTGTGAGCTTTGGTTCATTTCTACTGCGCGGCTTCTGAATACCAAAAGGTGTGTAACGAGAAGCAAGTGCACCTTTTTGACACCGATTTTTGGCAAGAGCCCACTCATACGGGTTATTTCTGGTCCTGGGGGTAATATGACAGGTACCATCAAATGGCATCGTGCAAGCGTCGCAAAAATGCAAAGCTGTGTTTACCGCGGGATTCGAACCATGAACCAATTTGGCATCTTTGCTGCGACCGTTCAGACGTCGCTCAGAAACAATTAAAGCATGGATTATGTTTCATGCATGGGTCCCTGTATAGCATGAAACAGTTCTGAAAATAGGGGCACGACCTGACAGACTATTCTGGTTAGAGATTATTGCTTAGTTCACCTTGACAAGATCCAGCAGTTGCGATGACAAATTCATTCCTTTTCGTAAAGATCAAGGCCGGGACAGCCGCCGCATTGCTCTGAAACAAATGGAAACATGCTAAAACGACGTACACCAGCGTTCTCCCATTTCAGTTTACATCAGGGAATTAGATCTACAAAAGTGAGCATTTAACGGGGTAAGACTGGGCGAATTTATATTACTGTACCCATTGGGATATAAGGAGTCAAGAGAAGACACGATTCCGCAGAGGAACGTGAAGGAATGGATGGGTTGAAGTGTTCACGCATGCAATGGAGGGGAATAAAGGCCGCGCGCATCAGCAACAGCTTTTTGGTCGGCAAAGGGTGCCGCCATTGATGAAAAATCACTGGCCGAGAAATCCTGAATTGCAACCCTCCATAGGTCAAATGAAGCACTTATCCCCTCCGCTTAAAGTCTCGAAATAATAAGTAGCCAGTCCATTCCTGTTGAACTCGAATATTTGGCGCCTGCAGTTCAACTTCTAACCGGAACTCCTCGATCGATCGCACCTGAGGCACTTGCTACACCAGCATTTCTGAGTATGCAAAAGCCCTGATCCGCAAGATTTATCGAAGAACTCGTTGAGTACAAACCGGCACCACTCCCCGGCAGATTCTTCTTAAGGTGACTGGTATAGGAGGCTATGAAGAGAGCTCGTTGAAGGCTCAAGTGTGGCTTTCAGCCATCAGCTGGGAAATCTCGCTTAGGCTTGGTAAAACGGGAACACATTCAGTTTTGAATGTAGATGGAGAAAGACGTTTTCGCATTTACAACAGCAAGATTTCCCTGCCCTTCAACCACAACTGGCCCTGCCAAGCTCTAATCGCTATAATGACCTGATGTAACCCTTTCCTGTGATACGATCGCATGTTGTTGCACATTTAACAGCACAACGGCAGTTCGGATCTCTCTATAATTAGTGTAAGGTAGGGTTGATCAAACAGATGGGACGCGCCATGCAACGTCCTTCCGGAGTTATATTGGTGTTTGAATGCAAGTCGACCTAGACCTACTACAAGGGGACCAGCCGATGTCCAAACAGTGCTTTATTTTTCCGGACAAATTTAATGCCCGGTAAACGACTCTGGATGAAAGTGAGGTCCTACTGACAAGGGTAAGTCGATCCTTTTTGATCACCCGCACTAGCAGGAGGTATGTGGCGCCTTTTGCCGCTAGATCCCTCATCACCTTGCCAGTGCATGAAGGCAGTATACTTATAAGAATATTCAAGGAAAGTGGTTATATTTTGACTGAAATAATGCAGATCGTTTTTGGACGGAGTAAGCTCAACGAATGTACATACGGTAGTATTCCGACTCACCAGGGCAGGAATGAGGCAAACGAGAAAGACGGCGGCGTGCATGTTCTGTGCTTATGGTCAGCCCAAGCGGACTTATGTACTGCCAAAAAGGGCTTCCGAAAACAGTTTACGTCCGAGCTGTATTGTGATCAAAACAATATTATTTCCATAATCTTCGTTTGCATCGACTTTAGCTGACCAAAACACGGAACATGACGCTCGATCTAAACGACCGCACAACTTATCGGCTGAGGGACCCTTTTCAACGACTTTACAAACAACAATAGTAAATGCAAAGCTCAGACTTCTTGAGGGTCTATAATCTGGAGTCGATAATGGTCTGAGT